GGGTCCCACTACAGGCAATAGAAGACCAAGGGACTGCTCTGGAAGGCAATTTGTCCCCTCCTAAATTGATTACTAAGAAATATCTCAAGTCTAATATGCCCATCTAGCTTTTAGATAGCTAAAGTTGGATGAAATGAAGTCTGTCCTAAGAGGTTTCCCACAAACCTAGTGTTTCTTCGAATGTACTTGTATTCCAAGCGATTTGAAGAGAAGAGGGCAGGGAGCTGAATCTCCATCCAGGAGAGAGAGGAGAGAGAACTTAAATGGAGAAAAATGTGTATAGTTTGAGAGTTTGAATTCACTGCCTCTTTAGTAACTTTCTCTCTCAAGATATTTTGAAGTGTCTGGATGCGTTTCTTTTATTCTTTGTCAATAATTTTGATGCAAATCAGAATGAAGATTTTCACAATTAAGCGTTAAATATTTTATTGGAAAATGTTATCTGTGGTATGATGCATATATCCATATTCTGTTGCAAAGATGCTTTCAGTCTTATATAATAAAATGCCAAATCTCTCAAGGTAAATAGTAACAAAATGATATAGCAACAAATATAGGTTTTGGTCAGTCCTACAGTTACCTGCACAGTTTACCTTTACAGAAGCTCTTATTGTGTTAACCAAATTAAATATTTACTTTTACCTACTCATCAGCTGTATAGCCACAAGTTCTGGCTGTTTGTTCAGCTGTCACTGAAAGGGTTAATTGCTGCAGCTATGCTGCATGCAGACTCCTAAACCTAAACCAGATGTAAACTAAAGCCAGGCTTTCAGTCAATCTGTGAGTCATATTTTACTGTCCTTAAAACTCCAAACAAGGAGCTGCCTATGGAAGCCCTTGAAGACTCCGCAGTTCTTAGTGTAAGTCTTTACAATTCCAAAAAAATAAATAAAAGAAAATTAAGAACTCTTTCTGTACTTGTGGCTGAGTTCATCAGAGCTTGTCTTTTCATGAGGCCAATATTGTTCCCTTTCTCGTAAAGTCTAAGCTTTCTTTTAAAGTCACAGGTTGTAGCTGTAAGGAATACCAAAAACACTGAGGAAGTAGTGAAAACAGTGGTTGTACTCTGCTTGCTTTCTAGACAAGTTCAGCACAGGCACATCTCCTGTAGGAGCATAAGTGCTCAGAACTGCTGAAAGTTAGGGACATAATTTCAAAACTTCTTTAGAGATTTAAAAATAAATAGTCTATTAGCTATTAATGTAACTTGTGCTCTTAAGTATCTTAGACAGTCTTGAAAATCCTCCCAAATTCTATAGGACTTTTCTAGGTAAGTATGTGGTTTCAGATGTGATTAACCAAAACAACCTGATGATCTTCAGTTAATTACCTGTCCCAGGATAATTCACAGTTCTATTTGCTTTCTTATTGTTTCTTTTGGATGTGACATGAAGCTTGTTTGTTTTGGGGGTGTTGAAACAAAAATCATACTGCCCTTTATTATCCTGACCAATTACATTAAGCCTGAGGAGCAGCTGATCATCTGCTCGCGTCATTTTCTTCCAAAAGGCATCTCATTTAGCAGAGATTTGGCCTGTGCTTCCAAGGGCCCAAATTTGGTATGCAATGGAATGGGTTAAAAAAATTCTATTAAAAAAGAATTTTGCATCTTGAAAACAATTTTTTCTCTTTAAAAAAAAAAAAAAAGTTGAATGTTACATATGATACCTTACTTTCTATTAAGCAAGAAAACGGGATTCTTCTGTGCTTTCTTTTGGCTTTTAAATGAATTATGCATCATTTGCAATCCAGGAACAGGGTGAATTAAGTTTGTCAACAGTAAGACCATTTACCTGAAGTTTCATTCAGATCAATTGAATTCGAACCACATGTTCCCCCTGTAAAATCCTAATACAGTAGGTGAACAATAACTGTTTTTATCTTCACTGAAAACACAAGGTTACTCCCAGCACCCTAGGAGATTAAGGATTTTGCACAAATACACGTTATAAGGAAAAAAAAAAATCTGTAATTCTCTGCCGTATGTGTCAATGAATATACTGGGATATAAAAAAAATATAACTGGGTTGTAGGACAGACAGACATGGGCTTTAATGTAATTCTCATAAATTGATTAAGTTGGGTTTTTTTTAGGTTCTGTTTCTTGATAGATTGGTAGTGGTGTAAGAACAAAATACACCATAAGCATCTTATTCACTCCTGCTGCTGCTCAATACTACTTAGCTCTATTTAACTTGTACCTCTCCAAGAACTACAAAGGGTTGATACTCTGTTTCTAGTCTAAGCTGAAAATTTACATGTCAAGAGTGAACAGAAAGACTATCCTGAAAATGTGCACGTGAGATTTTCATCAACTGTAGAAGCGCTTTAGCAAAGAATCTCATCAGCGCTTGAGGTAGATCTGAACTCTTATTTTTCTGAGCATCAGTGATCTTGGTCTTTTCTTGGGTGGGGGGAAAAAGATCTGGAGAAACAAGACCTATACTTCTCTCAAATTATCTGAGATATCAGGAGTTATCTTGAGTTGCAGACATTAAATGGAGAGACTAAAATGTTTTACTTCTATGAAGAATGTGTAACCCATATCCTGGAAGAAGATATGGAATGTGAGTGATATGAAATGGAACATTATGGCAGGTTGTATAGCATCTTTCAGCCCTGTCACTTATTTCTGGATAGGAGGAAAGTTTAGTAGAAATTCTTTACTACCATATGTCACTGTCAGAATTTGTTCCTTTGTGGAATGGTATGTGGCTTCTCTATTTGTTCATCTATTGTATGCTCTGTGAAAATGCATGGTTATTTGAGTGCCCTACCTATATCAGTCACGGTGACTAACGTTTGTTTAAGAATCTTCAAGATACTTTGGAAACTTTTGGGATGCAGTTGTTTTTATACTGTTTATAAAAAGATTTTCAATGGAATTAACAAAATTTCTTTTCTAGAAGTGTCAAAACACGTATTTTTTGGAACAGTCTTCAGATGCAGCAAAAACGTCCGTATAGGAAAGGAATACTGAATCACTTTACAAGTTACGTTTGACCAACATTTATCAAATAAAGGAAGTGTTTCATCCAGCCTTAGAAACATTTCACATGAAGCAATAATACCATTTTTATATTTCACTTTGCATAGGACTGAATGTTTTACAAGCTTGTCTACGTGATAACACATAATGTTTTGTGGATTATTTTTAAAATGTTGCTTCATAGGTAGAGTTGCTGATTTAATTAAAATATCTATTCATGCTATTTTTTTTTCTAAAAATCTTCTGGTACTTATTTTGATTTTATGCTAAGCTAAATAAAAATATGAAACTGAAATTGTTATCGTCACCCTGGCATAACTCCATTTGTGTGGATTTACTGAATATTTGATTTGAGTCAGTTTTCCTTTCTGTGTATGTGCATTTTAAAAATTAATTTCTCTAATTGTCTTTGATAAATTACAACCATGAGAAACAGTGATCAAACAGTACCTCTCAGATCTAAAGTTGTATCCTCCAAGGATCTGCCCCAGACCTAGGACAGCAGAGTAGTACAATTGAGGTGAATCAATTTTTACAGCTAACAGTAGAAAAGAGTGATGTGACTACCATTGTATCTGCTTATCTTTAGCTTTCTGACTTGAATGACTAGGTACCCATCTGCAAGGGGTTGGCTGGCCAGCAGTGGTCACAAGCAATGAACCTCTGTATTTGTAGCACTTTATCTTTAATTGCCATACCACTGTTTTCTTTTGGACATATCATTAACTTTTTGCTGGAAACTAGATACTGGTATTATTAATAGATTATAAGTTTGTGCTTGGTTGAGTGAGAGTGAGATGACGACTGGTTTCTGATTTTTCTTTTTCTGAAACCGCTTCAAATTTTACACAATCACATTTCTAGTGTGTGTAATAGTGATACATTTAAGTGATATATTTACCTATTCTTTCTGATTCTCAAAAACAGACTACAATTCTCATCTGTACATATTTGGAATGATGCCATTGTAGACGTCGTTTGCTTTTATATTTAAAGGAAATCATTATGATAGTATATTCTGCTTCTTCAAAATTTTTTTTTATGTCTAACTATTTTTCTGTATTTAAACATACTGAAATGATCCTGTTTACCTAAAAGAAATCCTAGAGAGTAAATAAGGATAATGCGTTTCTGTGTGTGTGCACTTTTATTGAAAATTTTGAGGCACGATCAAGCAGGGTTAATTTGTGTTGCAAAGTGATAGGAATTTATCACCTCCTGAAGAGATTTCCACTCTAATACAGATCAGAGCTTAGCATTCTCCCAAAGTAGCGTCATGTCTTCTATTGCCCTAAACTGAGTTAGCTTGGGTAGTTGGTGGGAGCGTGATCATACCAACTCATCAGTGACTAGTCTGTGTCAGGCTGCTTCAGGCTTCAGCTTTTCTGCCCTAGATTATAGTGCAACAAGAACCATTCTGACATTCTCCAAGGCCTATCATAGAGTTTAGGCTATGATAACTATAGTATTATGTTCTTGTACTTTAAACATTTTGCACAATTACCCTCGAACAATGCAAGACCACTACATCTTTCATTTTAGCAGGTATCAAGCCCTCATCCATACTTTACTTGCCAAATTAAGATCCTTCCTTCTCTGTGGTACAGATTTAGCACCTGAACTTTGTTTTGACTCACGTATCCTCACCTGAGTACAGAGGAATCAGCATGCATGGCGTGGGGTCTGAGTTTATAATTTTCTTCACATAACTTCGGTTCTCTTAAAATTGTCTTTCTCCTTTAAAACAATTGGATTCTTTTGTTCATTTCTACTGCTGCTCGTTTAACCCAACACACTGGCCATCTTATCTTTATATTTTGGTCAGAAACATTTGACTAGGAACATAACACCTCCTGAAAACATTGCTAGAGTGTTTATACTTGAAATAGTGTATTTGAAGCCCGTATTCTAGCCGTGCCACTGGCTATTAATTCAAGAGCGTCTTTTAGTACAGTATGCATAGCTATACCATAATGTGTCATCCTAAACTAATCTGTTGCTTCAATTTCAGTATGCGAGACAGAAGCAGCAAAAGTTTATCAGCTATCACTAGAAGAGCACCTCCAGCCTTTCAAAGACAGCATGGAGCAATTCATTAGTCAAGGTAAATAATGAATCGTCATTTAACCTTTTCATGACATTTCAAAGGAAAGTTATAGGAACAATGTTTATACATTGTGAGAAAGGGACTGTTTATTTTGGCATCATAGAAAGATGTGGATTAGTTTAATCAGATGCCACACAGTTCTAAAAGATTTGCAAGATGACTCTGTTGTACTGTAGGTGACTCACTCTCTTCTGTATGACAGCAAAGACAAATGCTATTGGCTTGAGTGTGTGATCTTCCGATAAGTTCAACATTCCAATAGAAAACAATTTTACAACCTTTGTTCCTTGAAAAATTATTGAAGCTGGATCCATCTTGTTAACGTCTTTCCAAGGCGATAATTCTTTTGTAAGTGCCAAAAACATGCTGTATGTGTAACAAAAGTAGTTACAGGTTTTCCAGATATAAGGCAAATCCATATGAAATACTTGGATGTGAATAATGGAAAATGCTGCAAGATAAAACATATAAGAAGTATCCACAAAGAACTGGCATTTTGAGTGCTAGAAGCCGTGCACATTAACGGTGAATAGACTATGCCTGCAATGCTGTGCTAGACTCTTTTTTTACAAGACTGTGAGAGGAGTGGATAACTTCAATGGCAGACTAGAAGTATGTCAGAGCATCTTTTAAAATACTGCTCTGAGTACATTCTCTATTGACCAATTAATTCTTTTGATAGAATTTAGAGTGCAATGTATGAGGGTGACAATGGCCTAGTAAGCATACATCCATTTCTTTTTAACTTTGCTGACCACATTGCCTCTTCTTCTACTTTGATATTGCATTTTATAATGGAAGACAGATCTGTTATCTGCTAATCGGGTAAGTTATGTGAAAAGTCAGTTTCTGCTGCTTATTCAACATAGCTCTCAGTAATTCTTTACCCTAGACCTCTGTTAATTGGCTATCATTTATAGAAATTATTACTGACTGACTGTCCATTGTTTGAGAGGTCAGTCAGATACATGTTTATCTTTTATTGACTAGAATATTCAAGATGAGCATCTATCTGAACAGTTCGAAAATGGAATATGTATATTATACACTGATCCACACTGTGGGACTCCTGATCAAAGTGAATACATTCAATTAGCAATTTGTATATATAATTATTGCAAAAGCACCACTTTGAGCCATCAAATGTGAATTGATGTTTCTGAAGACCAAAGTCAGTTCCTAAAGTTTGGCAAACAGACTGCTGTGTGCTGCAATGAATGTGATGTATAAATATTACATTAGTGGCGTGGTTAAATATGTAGCTAGTGTTTTGCATTAGGTCTATATTATTAGTGATATATGTAAATAGAGGACAATCAACTCACTTGTTAGTCTGACACAGGTCACTAATGGTGCACTGTAAATCACACCACGTTTGCACATTAACCTTAATAAGAGAGTAACAAATCAAATTTGGAGGTTATATTACGTTATCTGTTATATGTTACATATATTTGTTAGATTTCTTTCACTTCTTTCAGAAAGCTTTAGCACTCTTAGAAGTATCTGACTCTGTATTTTAGCCTGCTTACAAGTTTTTGACTATGAATTCCAGACGGTATTTACAGAGGATAAGCAATAGTAATCTGTTCTATTTTTTGCAAGGATGTATGATTTCCTTCCTTGCTTACGTGTCTGTATTTTGGGAAAGTAAGAAAAAAGATACAAATGCGTCTCGTCTAAAGAACTGTGCTATGTTCCCATGCTATTAGTAGATATTGCCAGGTCATTGACAAAAGAAGAAACCCATAATGTCAGTAAGTTGTCGTTGTATTTTAATGGAAATAATTGGAACTGAGAATTGTGACCTTAAATGTATTGTGAATAAACAATTTCTACATTTATTTAAGACTGCAAGGACTACTTTTCAGAATTAGTTGCAATATAAGAAAGACAAAGGTTAACATATAGGAAAAAAGAATCCCTGGTTAAGTTCCAAAAATAAAGTAATTTTAAATACCTTTCATTATGAAATCCTTTGTTTTTACTTCATGGGATTGAATTCAGACTTGAAAGAGGCCATGTTTAAAGCAGGATTTCTCTTTCCTGTTCAGTGTTTGACAGGCTTTTGATCTAGATATTTTTTCTAAGGGCTTTTGTTGTTTATGTAGACATAATCGATGAGTCTTTTCAGCTAGACTGCACACATGATCATTTAGAAAAACAGAAGGACAATTCTTGGCACCTTTTGGGGATTTGTGTTTATATAACATATGCTCTGGGCAAAGAAAAATCAAGCTTTAAGTTTTTATCTTTCCGAGTTCCAGTTTCTCTAAAGTCAGAAAAAGTTTTAACTTATAATTCAGATGAAAAGCATTTTTCATAGGGCTGAATAATTTGGCATGTTTATATGATGCATTTTCAGAGTAGATAACTTGTGTGCATAATGGGACCCAAAAGTTCAAAGTAGCTAGTTATTTACAACATATTCACTTGTACTTGTTGCTAGCAGCTAAAATGGAAAATGGTTTTCCCATAGGCAAGACATTTGGACACCAATTAAGTATCCCTGGCAAGGAGTTAGAAAGGCACTGCTTTATAAGAATAGTTACTGTCTGGCACAGTTATGTAACTTTTAATTCAGTTATTGTTACCAGTCTAGCTGATTGTTACTATTAATAAAAATTTTTTTATGTGTTTTTTTAATGTTAACATATTTATTGGGGTCAGCAGAGACAAAAAAGGCCACATATTAAAGTTCTTTTAGTTTACTTTTAAAGATCATTCCAGTAAAAGGATGAAGAAGGGGAAGAAGCAAGGGAAGTGTTCAGAGTCATAACATTTTAAATTAAAATGCTAGTGGGGTATATGATTGAGATGGTCCAGTTTTTGCCTTGCTAGTGAGTAGGCTAAATCATCAGTACATTCATCAAAATATAATAGGTAGTCAAAGGGTCCCAGTCCCTTTTCTGATGAACTTCAGTGTCATTTTTAAATTGATCACTCTACTTAACAGAAGATCAAACTGTCATATCATCTCTGTATTAGATTTAGAGAATATTTGTAAGTATGCTCTATCCTATGCATTGCTGAGAGCCTGTGTGCCTCGAGACCTCCAACACAACCCTTTCTGTTCTCCCCCATTTTCTGTCCTTCTCTTTTTTGGGACCACATGGTGTAAACCATCTGTCAGAAGATATATAACACGTGGTTTTTACCTTTATTCAAATGGTAATCGTGTATGCTGAAATGCTCCATAGCTGCAGGGAATTTTGTTGTTGTTGTTTTTTTTTTTTAGATTAAGCTACTTCCGAAAGGAGTTTGTGAAAAAATGTCAAAGTGTATTAGACTTTTAAAAGGCATATTGTTTTGTTTGTTACATGTTTCTAACCGTTTTCTTGAAGGCTTCCAGTATTTGGGTGATATGAAACACAAGCCTGACATTTAGTAGATAAACGGTCCTGTTCCAATGAAAAGTTTTTCAGGCCAAACTGCCAGCATCTGAAAAGTATTGTTTGCATCTGCTAGGGTATGTCTTCAGTGAAATTTTCTGTTAGTAAGTTACTCCATACAAGTTACCTTGGTTTGAGTAAGAGAGATCACAATGGAGAACACTATTTGAGGAGTCTGTCCCTTAAGATCTTAGTTGTGGTTGGAACAGGGACACAAAGGAATGTGAGATCACATCTACTGGCTCAGAAAGCTAGAAAGTTAGTCTATTGCTTCTTTTCCATGGGGTTACGCGGCAATGTGTCTACCTCCTCAGGTTGCACAGGTGGGGGACAACAAGTGTGAAAGTACTAGAGGGCACCAATCAGCAAGCAAATTGTAGAGGAGTCTCATTAGCAGTTTAGTCCTTTAACTTGGTCCCCACTTGGTAGCATAGCCAGCTCTCAGAAGAATGTGTGTGGGTGACCCACAAATGAGTCACGACACCTCGATTTTAACTGTAGTTAACCTCGCAGTGAAAAGCAGCCTTTGAGTGTTTGCTGTTGGGACTCTAGCTAGGCTGTGTGTACTCGTCAGCCTGACGAGGCAGGAAACTTCAGATAGAAGGTAGTAGCTGCCACCCCTTAGAAAAGTAGGCCTGGTGTGGGACCTAGGAAGAGGCAATATGTTTGAATCACAGCTTTTCCACTTAGATACTAAAAATTATTTTAGAGTCACAGACTTGAAAGATGAGAAAGTTATCAGATACTGTATTCAGAAGCCAAACTGGTATCATTAGTTTTAGACTTTAGAAAAAGCATTATAATTTGGAATATTTAAGCACTAGAATGGACTGCTTATAGAAGAAGTAAAAACATAGTTTTCAGATGTTTCACTGATTTATCGAAAAAATATTTAGACTAATTCTGGTATGCTTGTCAGTTAGGGTGAGCAAGGTCATCACTCAATCTTAGCTTCCTTCTAGTTTTGTTTTACAAAATTCTGTAATGCTGTTCTTGTTAGTGAATGCCTGCACCAGGCTTCGTTTGGCTGGACCCGGGAATACAGACTACTCTCCAGACCTGAGTTCTAGCCACATCCTTGTAGTCCTGCAGAATAAAGATGCTAAAATTGTCCTCTGGGATGAAGTGTCTGTAACATTCTCCATCTTTTGCCAAGGACAGCATTCAGGAATCCAGTTTCCAAATCTTTAGTAAATGGACGTATAAATCACAAAGTGTGTTGTATTTATCTCTGTAGCTGCAACCAGATAGTTGGCCATAACTTGCTCTTTTAGGTCAGGCAGCAAAAGGCTGTGCATCATCAGATGATGGATTGTGAATGAAACTAAAGCATCAGGCTGAATCTTGGATGGCTGGGTTCAGTTCCTGGCTCCAGAAGAAGCAGTGCAGATGATTGCCAAATGAACGTTGCTAGGGTAATCTTAATTCTGGCATTTTCCAGAATGATTGATTTTGCAGATTCCGTTTTCTTTAAATGTTACTTTTATGATTTGGTTACTATAATGGAAAACGTAGCATTACTTCTTAATTTTCCTAAAAATAATTCTGTGACTAAAAATATTATTGGGAATATATACTAAGAAATATTTGTGTTTTTCTTAAACA